CAGCCAATTGGAATCAGACTTTGCATCATGTGGGTCAGTAAAAAAAAAATTCAAATTCACCCATTTTATAAGGAGAGCAAATCTCACAGCATTTGACCATGTTCTCAAAGCCTCATTCTCATACATAAGAAATTATTCTCCAGAGTTAGCATTACTACTGTTGTTTTACATATTCTCTGTGTTGGATGGGTAATCAAAAAGCATCTCCTTCTGAAACAAATTGCATGTTAAATTCGTTGCTTTCATCGTCCAAAGCTTATTTTTAATACATATTCAGAACCAATTTGTCTACCTTGCTTGTACAGTTCATCCTCTTTCTGTGAGAGGGATAAGCATTTGAAATGGCTTTAAAATGAAACATAAATTGTGCTACATCCAAGTAAAACAGTTCTTAAAGATGTTACGCAAACAGATTCATGTTATTCAAAGGTTACATATAAAAATGTTTTTAAAACATTCTGATTCAGGGATTAAACATGCCCCACAGTGGGAAAATTAGGTATACATATTTTAAACATCTATTTAAAAATAAAATAAAACCAGTCCAGTGTAACTTCTTCGATAACACTACAGAAATGAGAAAAACTATCCAACCCCAGGACAATTTTAATTTTCACACTGTTTTTCTTCCCTGACTGATAGCTTGAATCTGATTTTCAGTTTAGATGAATTTCTACAGTGAAGAATTATTTTTAAAATGCCATAGAACCATCCAAGAACAAAGGCAGCATTATTTTAATGAGAGGGAAGAAAAATCAAACTTACATCACAACATGAAGTTTGGAGCATGCTTCAAAAGGGTCTACTTCAAAAGGGCCTTTAATAACCTATCTGAACTGAGCAATCTGAATCAGTAATAAATTCCAGGTGAACAACAGAAAATGCTCTATTGATTTTCCCAAAATCTGTTACTAGTTTTCAGTGAAGATGGCAGGAATCTGGTGGAGGTATCATGGGTCCAGGCAATGTTATATTTTAGATAAGAACTAGCAGCTTAATAGTAGCCTAAAAATAAACTGGACCTCCTGCAGCACTTCTGGCGGCAAACACACCCATCTAAATGCTGCATTGAGGACCAAGTTAAGTTTCCAAGACACCTTCAAGAAAAGCTCCATTTATATTTATTTATTTATTGGACTTATATACCGCCCCATAGTGCTACAAGCACTCTCCGGGCGGTTTACAATTTTAATTATACAGGCTACACATTGCCCCCCCCCCAGCAAGCTGGGTACTCATTTTACCAACCTCGGAAGGATGGAAGGCTGAGTCAACCTTGAGCTGGTGGCAAACACACCCATCTGAATGCTGCATTCAGGACCAAGTTAAGTTTCCAAGATACCTTCAAGAAAAGCTCCATTTATAATAGACTTAGTCTAATGCAAGCTTTATTGGGACACACACATAAGAACTAAGTGCACAGGAACCATCTTGCATTTAGGGCTCTTGAAAACTGAAATAACTGTTCAAGGAACAAAACAATTTAAAAATAAACTTTCTTTCCATGAAAGAAAGAATAAAATAACAGACTTAGTCTAATGCAAGCTTTATCGGGACGCACACATAAGAACTAAGTGCACAGGAACCATCTTGCATTTAGGGCTCTTGAAAACTGAAATAACTGTTCAAGGAACAAAACAATTTAAAAATAAACTTTCTTTCCATGAAAGAAAGAATAAAAGGAACAACATCAAAGTACAATTATCTTTAGCACTACTCAAGTCGTCCCCAACTTAGCTCAAAAAAAGATGCTCCTGGTCTTCGAAATTCCAGTCTAGCATGAGTGTTATATGCTGATGAACTTGGAAAATCTCAACACAAACATAGTTACAATTAAAGTCTCTGAATGCCTTTTTAAGTTAATTTTTAATGTTTACTTGCTTTTAATTATTCAATTGTATTTTAATTAGCATATAGTTTGATTGTTTTTATGTTTAACTTGTGTTTTTAATTCTATTCTTTTTCATATTGTATTCGCGAAGGCTTTCATGGCTGGGATCTAATAGTTGTGGGTTTTTCGGGCTCTTTGGCCATGTTCTGAAGGTTGTTCTTCCTAATGTTTCGCCAGTCTCTGTGGCCAGCATCTTTCAGAGGACAGCACTGAAGAGGACAGAGTGCTGTCCTCTGAAGATGCTGGCCACAGAGACTGGCAAAACGTTAGGAAGAACAACCTTCAGAACATGGCCAAAGAGCCTGAAAAACCCACAACAACCACTTTTTCATATTGTGAGCTACTTTGGTTCCCTTTATTGTGAGAAAGGCAGCCTAGAAATAAAACAAACAAATAAATAAAGTAAGTCCACCGAATCAGTTGGGATTCAGTGAGTTAATTCCTCTTGTAAGTTCCACTGAGTCAATGGGCCTATTATAGTTACAACTTACTATTGGATTTCAGCCATTATGTTCCTTTCAGGAACACTAGAAATGCCATTTAAAAGAGATTAAATACAAAATGTTGAGAAGATTGCAGACATCAAAGTAAATATAAACACAATCTTCTAAAACCCCAGGGTTATCAGCATATTTATGGCTCTTGATTGTTTGTTTGTTTGTTTGTTTGACTTTTATACCACCCATTTGACTCCCAGGGCCACTCTGAGCAGTTCACAGTTCAAAAACAAATAAACAATAATACAGAAACAATAAACATAATAACAATCAAAAACCAAAATTAAACATCAAACAAACATAAACAAGCAACATAATTAAAAACTATAAATAATTAAGATAATTTAAAGGCAAGGTGGCAGAACAGGTAGTATAAAACAGTGGTCCCCAACCTTGGGCTTCCAGATGTTCTTGGACTACAACTCCCAGAAGCCTTCACCACCATCTCTGCTGGCTAGGATTTCTAGGAGTTGAAGTCCAAGAACATCTGGAGGCCCAAGGTTGGGGATCACTGGTATAAAACATTGAAACAACAGAGTTACAATGTTACAGACTCTGGGAAGGGTTCTATCAAAACTATACAGTACTCCCAAACTCTTTCCATTTCCAACTACCTCCAGATTCCTGGAAAACAAAGATGTGCATTCCTTGTCATTCTCCTCCTAATACCCAGTTATCATGCAACCAGCTCCACACTGCATTGTGGTTTTTGCTACCTTGTTACTTTCCCTATTTCATCAGCAGATGCAATGAAAAGGGGGATCTAGCCCAGAGTGACAAGTGGTACTCCCCGCATTTTTGATGCACACACTTCCCCAGAAAGAGAATTAGTAGAGGAGGCATTGGTAGCTTATGGCAACCAAGGAGCCAATGACAGACAACAGCAGCTGCTGCTGCTATGGCGATCCCTGCTGTTCTCCATGGTAGCAAACGTGGTAGCAGGAGGATCTGAGAGACCAGTTATATTGACTTCCAGACTGATCCATGCTGTGAATGGGATGGTGGGTATACAGGGCAGGGCAAGGAACAGGGAGGAGAGAGGCGAGAGGGAGGAATCATGATTTTTGATGCAGGACTCTACTGTGTTCTTCCCCACTATCACTGAAAAATTTATTAATGAAAGCCTAACTTACAAAAAGAATTTTTAAAATCATTTGAGCATATGAAACTTCAGCTGCTTATCTCTGAGCAAGGCTTACTGACTTAATTTACCTTTTCATCTGGATGACTCATGGTTTCTAACTCTGGTAAATGCTGCTTCACAGAAAATTTTCTAACACTGAAAGGTAGGGCACTTGATCTTTCTTGTCCAAACTAGTGCCAAATCTCGCTCTATACTTGACATTTGGTTCCATTATGTCAAGAACACTTAACACAATAGCAGTTGTATGCAGAGATGACTCTCTGTAGGAAACTGCATGAAACCTTTTCTTATGTGCAGTTGTGACATGAGATTAATATGCCAACCCATCGGTGTATGCATCACCTGTGGGAAACTCCACAAAGGTTGCATGCAGTTTCCTACACAACAGGGGCTTCACTGTGTAGACAATGTAGAATTTGCTCCATGAAAATACTGCAGAAAAGGTCTGAGGTCTCATACTAAGCCAAACACTAACTCTTACAATTCCCCGGAAGCAGCTGAAAACATGAAACTCACATTAACATTAAGGCTCTTTCATAAAAAGCTTTCTTCCTCATAGCAGTAAATATTCCACATGTTTCAAAGGAAAAGGTCTACCAAAGCTGTATTCCTAAGCTTCTAAAATGAAGAGTGTTCTTTAAAACTAATTTTAAAAATAGGCTTCCAGCTGTCAGGGATAGTGCAGCAACATGAAAAATGATCACAATGTCAGAAAATGTCCAGCATGAAACTAAAGACTACCTTTAGTTTATATACTGTAGAGAGATCATGAATGCAAATGTCAATAGATAATGGGATAACCTGAGACATGACAATGTCCCAATTCATATTTAACCCTGGTAAAGACAAGAGAGAAATTAGGTCAATAAAAAGATTGGGGGAGGCACAATCATCTATTTCTGTCTCACGTAGTAGTAAATCTAGAACACTTTCTACAACATTCTCTGTAGCAGTAAGACACAGGGAGCGATCCAGTTGGCTTTCAGTTCTGAAAACAAAGAGTTTTTTTTCCTGACACTCCCTAAAGCTAAGTCTGGGATGAACACTTGCCTTAAAATGTTTTTGGATCTCTTTGTTCTACTGTAATTCACACTTCAAAGAACAACCTGAACAGAGATATAATGCTTAGATGTGCAACATATTCAGAATGGTAAAACTGTTTTTTATCTGTCTCTTTTTATCCAACGAGTCTGTTCACCAAGAAGCGGCGGTTCTGATCTTAACCGCTGCTCCTTCACCCAACCGGGGCTCCCTTCCTTGCCTCCCACAACTGAGCATCCAGCCGTTTCCTTGCTTAAAAAT